TTGCACTTCGTTACGTTTAACTGTTTATAGATTACAGTAGGTTTATAGGTTACAGGTGTGTTGAACTTCACTTCGTTGCGTTCAACTGTTTATAAATTACCAGTTTTCAATGGGAAATTAGTAACGACTTTCAAAATTTTTCATTCGTTTTATAAAATTTAATTTTTTTAAAGCATTCATTAGTAAAGTACATTAAAAATCACTCGTAAAGATTTTGTGTTTATCCGAACCATTCCTACTACATAAAGTGTGGATTCTTAACATAAAGATGCAAATCAAATCTATATGTAACGTATTTATAACGGATTTTCAAATATAAATTCAATGAATATCATTTATATGTTATGCAAAAATACGTCAAACCGTTAATAAAAAGAAAAGTCAATTTAATTAAGTTGGTGAAGTGTTATAAATAATGCAATACATTTAAAACAGCATAAATTTATGCTCAAACTATGTGTGCTAAATGCACATCGCATATTAATAGTTATTTTGCATTAATTCGTAACGGACTTGTGCTTAACGGTTTTTTTGAAAATTCAAATTTTCACTTACGAATATTCATGAAAAAATTACATGTCAATTTTTTTGTCTTACCAGAATATCTTTAGCTGCTCAAATTTATGGTATAATTAATAATTAGTAATATTAATTAAACTATAATGAATCATATAAATGACTTTAGAGCATCACAAGTATAATATTTAATACAAATCAAAATTTTATATCATTGACCTTGGATTTTTTCCCATATAAAAAAGTTTTACATAAATTGTACTATAATTAAGCATTTTTGTGTTTCCAAAGTGTTAAAATATTGTATTGTCACCGGGAATACATGTGCATTAAAAATTTGAGCTCGATTGGAGCAGTAGAAGTGGTCGAAAAATTGATCGCAAGATTTGAAATTTTTTGCAAACAAACAAACAAACAAACAAACAAACAAACAAACAAACAAACAAGAAAGCAAGTTAAGAAAAACGTAGTAATAAAAACTAAAAGCAACAAAATGTATCAAAATTTTCTACATACTTTAAAAAAGGTCATTACCTTTTTTAAGTCTTAAAAATGCAACTGATATCTGAAGAAATTTTTAAAACTTTTTTCGGTCATAAGTTAAAAAGCCCACAAAAGTCTTCTTCAAGATATTTTGATGAGCTCATACAAATTTGAATAGACAAAGAACACGCTATGAGCGCGCTCAAATTTAGTGCTGAGCATGCTCGCGTGAGTGTGCTCTTTCATACGAAAAGTGATGCCACTACTTTACGCTAATGAACACGCTTTTTGAGCATGCTCTGAGCACATTATTTTAACAAATTTTGAGCATGCTCAAATTGTTGTGTGACATGCAACATTTTTTATGTCATATGATGTGACATTTGAGTACACTCAGTGAGTGTACTCTGAGCATGCTCACTGAGTGTACTCACATTATTTTATAATTTTCAAAAAAAAAAAATTTGAAATTATTTTTTTGACATATTTTACTGTTGTAAAGTTTTTTAATGTTCTAGAATAAATTTTGTTCATTAATAATCTGAAAAAGACACTTAAGATAATTTTGGATTTTACCTGGATTCGAACTCACGACCGCTCTGTTGCTAAGACCATTACCATAACCATTATACCACTGCTGCAATTTACCTATATAGTTTACAATGGCAAAAACTCATATATAAACTATAAAAAAGTAAAATACTTCGAAATTGATCTCAAAATGTTTTTAAACAATGGTTATAGTTAAAAAGTAGATAATTATATATAATTCTAGAAACTTTGACTTGTGAAGTATGTAAAAAATCATGAGCATACTCAGAGTATGCTCAATATATGTGCTCTTGTGCACGCTCAATAAAATGTGAAATATTATAAAAATTGATTTTTTTGTGAGCTTATTCACAATGTTCTCACGAGTATGCTTAAGAGTGTACTCAAGTGAGCATGTTTAAGTTTGGTAATTGAGCATGCTCATGAGCATGCTCTCGAGCATGAGTATGCTCTCGAGCATGCTCAATAAAATGAAAAATTTAAAAAAATTGATTATTTTGCGAGCATATTCACAATGTGCTCACGAGTATGCTTAAGAGTGTACTCAAGTGAGCATGCTTGGATTTAGGAATTGAGTATGCTCTCGAGTATGCTCAATAAAATAAAAAAATTTCAAAAAATGTGTTTTTTGTGAGCATATTCACAATGTGCTCACAACATGTTCAACTGAGTGTGCTCAGGTGAGCACGTTAACTGATGATTTTGAGCATGCTCATTAACGTGCTCACAAAAGTGAGCACGCTTTTTGTCTATTCGGGAAAGTATACTCAGAAGTAAGTTTGTAAACAAACAAATTTAAAAAAGTTTCACGCCTGTTTCACTAAGTTGGGCAATCTTGGTGGAAGCCAATTTCAACATTTTAAATTAATTATGTGGATAATCCACATACCAGGATATTTTTTTTTTGAAATCCATTGTCAAAAAATTATTTTCTTTAAATCAATTTTTTCTGATTCATCGTGCAGTTTAACGTAGTAAAAACATTTATGGATTATCCTCGGATTGGAAGGTGAATAATCCGATCAGTGAATCTACCTTTGCGAAAGCAGGCCGAAGAAGATTATTACGTAAATTATCATTTTTAATGCTTTTAAAATACGAAATCTAATTGAAAAGTCATGCTAAGATATAAAATTTGCAAATTTGTTTCATTGTGTTAGTGTTTGCGAAAAAACAAAAAAAAATCAAATTTTTTAAACCATTAAAACGGTAATTTTTTGAAAGAGCTTATATATCTTGGTCTTCTTTTAAACCTATATAAATATTGACAAAAACTTTCACTTTTCAATTGTGTAGAGAATATTGCACACAAGAAATTTTTGAACACTTTTTTTTTAAATCTGAATCATTGTATAGTCTAACCAATTTTAATTAAAGTGATAGTTCCCCATTAATGTTATCATTACTTGAGGGTTAACATTTGTCATTTGATGACTTATGATTCCTAAATTCAAACATTGTAAAGTTCTTTAAAAACTGAACATTTTTGTGCGTTTCAATCGTTATGTATATTTTTGATTAGCATAGAGTTTTTTCATCTAACATTCTTTAAATTAAATTTTCACAGAACAGAATTTATTTTTATCGTCTGATTGGCTGTGGTTTAAATGTTAATGATGTTCGCTTGAGGCTATTCTGCATTGTTTTTTATGATTTTGCTTGTAAGTGACCTTTCAATTATTACAGAGGGATGGGGATTAAAAGAAATTAATATAGAAGTCAGCATTACAGATGTGAACGGACAAACCAAACGCATTTTCTTCGCGTTGAACATTTTATCCAAGTTCAAGTCACATTAGAAGCGTAAATTTTATTATAGAGTGATATTTTCATGACTTTTTAAATTTAAAAAAAAACTTCTAAATATGTCACCATTGTAGATATAGCATCTTCAAATAGAATTTGTTTTTTGAAAAGCGCCATTTTATAATTGTTTCTGGTTCAATAGAATCACAATTTTTATTTCTTTGTATTGATTGATTAATAAGAGAACAAGTTCAAGTTCATGTCGTAATGTATTCAAACATATGATTGCTTCTTTCATTTCCTCGTTTTATGTGACTCTGTTATTGCTTTTCTTTTCAATACCATTACTTTTAAGTTCACGGAAAAAAGTTATTGAGAGTCAATCCACGAAGTTAAATTAATTCGAACTTTATTGAATAGGAGTGTTTACTTTTCCTCTTTGTGGCAAAATAAATTTGATTTTTTTTTTCGATTTATTCAACTTGAGAATCTTCGTATCACATTTTTAGAAAACTTGGTAAGCTCATTTCATTTATGCTATTTCGTTCTTTTCAAATCTAGTTCAGAAATAATTGAGAATTTACTCAAAAGACTCTTTCAATTTATACACTTCAAAATGTTAGATATAAAATTTAAATTAATCAAGTATACATCTTTAAAAGCACGCAAACCTTTGTAATGTTAAAATGTAATGAAAATTAAATAAATCAGTTGAAATAAAGACAGAGTAAAAAATTGAAAAAGTAAAATTAAATTGATTAATTAAATTTATAATTCATGTAACCGACCCAAAATACACTTTTGTCGAATATTCAACGACTCACTAAAGTTGTCATAACTTTTCAATGTATAAATTTAGATATGAAAATTAAAAATTAAGAACTACAAGAAAATATAATCAAAACTTTCCGATCTTATCATTTAAAATAATTGCGTTATGTTTTAAGATTATTTTTCCCTGAATTTTCATACATTTCCTAGCATATTGGAACCAAAAATAAAAATTTTTTAGGTTTGTTAACCTCTTATATTAACTTAGTAAGAACTGAAACCAGTTTTTGAATATCTTCAAGCATCTTAACATCCTATAAACTTAAAGGTTTAGAGAGAAAATAAAAATTTTCACTCCACTTGAAATTTGGCATAGAAGTCTATTTTTAAGAAAAAATAATTCATACTACAAAAAAGTCCCAAAATCAAAGTGAAAGAGTGACTTCTTTTTTCAATTTTGCCACATAGTAATTAGGCATTCGGCATCAAAACATGAATCAAAGACAGAAAATGCGCTGAAAAAAAAATAAATATTTTATCAAGATTTTTATGTAAAGAACAATATGTTGATACTTTATTTTTTCATTAATTCTCGTTTTTTTTATTTAATTTTATTTACAGACATAGTTTATATGCATGTCTTTTTACAATCCAATATTCGATTAATCCATTTTAAATGCGGTCGGTTTTGATTGGACGTTTTGGTTTCAAATCATTTTAAAAATGTGAAAATCTATTTTTACAAATGGTAACGACAAAAATTTAGTTATGCTTGTAATATGGAAGCTACTTGTCAAATACAAGAACTCTTCAAGTCATATTTAATTTGCAATTTTTGACAGAGCAGCATATTAAGTAAATAAAGGTAGATGAAAGTCTATAAAATTATCGTACTTTAAGAAGAAATATAATGATTTTCACATCCATATAATGAATAAGTAAAGATAATTTAAAGTAGAGTAATCTTACTAAAGGAGTGGAAAGACTTAGGTCATTGGTAAAGGAATAGAAAGAGCAGTTATGAATGGCAGGAATTTTCAGATTTTTTGCTTAATTACTAGTAACTTAATTGATTGTTTTCAGTTCTCAGTAATTAATTAAAACTTAATGCCAGTATTGTTCATTTTCGTATCGCGAGTCATATGAGCCATCATCTTCTTGTTGGTTGTAATGTCCGTAGTGTGGTTGATGCGTCTTTGCTTCTGCAACAAGAGCGAAATGCTTGGCTTTCTCAGCTTTGACTTCTGGGGTTTCGTCTGGGACACCATTGTGAATAGTTGGATAGTGATAAGGTCCTTGATAAGCATTATGTGATTTCCATTCATCATGAGCTGGAGCATAATGAGCACCACTATGGGCAAGCTTAGATTTAGCATCAGCAACTAAAGCAAAGTGAGCAGCCTTAGCGTGTTGAACTTCAGCAGTATCAACTGGAACTCCATTAACTGGTGCTGGAGCTGCTTGATGTGCCCAATGATTGTAGTGAGCTGGAGCAACTGGTGCAGCATGATGGTTATCTTTCCAGGCCAATTGTGGGTGATAGATCAATGGATTTGCTGGCAAACCTTGGAGTGCACGTTGGTGGGCAGCAAAGTGAATAGCTTTTTCATGTTGAACTTCTGGTGTATCGACTGGTCCATATGCTGAACGTTTGTGATGGTGATGTAATCTTGCTTTTGCTTCAGCATGAGCGGCAAAATGAGCATGTTCAGCAGCAAGAACTTCTGGGGTTTTAGATGGAGCCAATGGGGCATAAGATGGGATTCCCCAATGAGCAGCATGATGAGCGACAATTGGAGCATGAGAAATTACTGGAGCAATAGCATGAACTGGTGCTGGGCCTTTTGGTAAATTTGTGGCGGAAACAATTTGGAAACCATGATGTGGATCGGCTACATATTTTACTGATTGAACATGACCATTAGCATCAACATATGAATATCCACCGTGGAGTGATCCGTCATGTGATTTTGCTTCATGCTTTGTGCTAAGTGGATCCGAATAACCATATCTAATTGTTAAAAGGAAAGACGATTCATATTTTAAATAAATATTCTCTTGATATATTAAATTCTGAACTTACGAATATCCACCAATTCCATCTTGAGCTTGATATTGAGTTGAAATTGCGCCATATAAGCTTGCAGAGCAAGAGGCGACAAACAGTGTTGCAATCACCTAGGAATTATATTTTCACATTAGTTGATCGATATTTATGTAAAAATGTGAATAAAATTTTTATTATTCATTTAAAACAGTACAAATTATGCTATTCAAATTGCACAATTTTCTCTTATATTTCAAAACTTTTCTTTTTCTTATTGTGGTTTAGACAAGAAGTGAAACTTTTCGGTTATTCAATTGATCGAGTTTACGTTTCATTTATAATGGCAAGTTATGATTTTGTTGCACACATTTATTTCCTAATTTTTTATTTTAATACTTTTCTCTTTAATTATTTGCAAAATTGTTTAAACGTCTAAAGCTTTAAGTGGGTAAAGTAATTGTCTTATTATTTATAAAACTGTAATGATTTTTCTCTAAACTACTTTTTTTCATGTTAATAGCTACATGGTAATAAAGTAAACAATGTATATCCGCTTTGATCCTCTCTGATCCTTCAACTGCTTTTGTGTTATCAGAATAATTCAATCTGCTGCTCATTTTTTCTTTTTCTTATTCTACTTGATCTAGTTTCACTGATTATTAAAAAAGTTCTTTTATTGTATAATTTAATGCTTCAAATCACTTAACTGTTCTCTTTCATAAGACAAAATTAGGAAATTCCACAATTTAATTATCACTTAATTATTTGTATACTTACAAATGCTTTCATTTTAGGTATTTTTTAAAAAAGATTTAAATATTAAAGTATAGAAAAGTGAAGTGTAAAAAAATGCTGCAGAAACCTCCTAGTGGATGCTAGGACTGTTTGAAACTGTGATTCCAACATACCGATTTACTGGCTTTTATACAAAAGCAAAACAAATTTTTTTAATTAGGCAACAATACAGCAAGAATCAGCTGTGGCGGCAAAGCGCAAAAACGAACACATTCAAACATGTTTTTTCACTTTACTTCTCATATTTCCTATAAAATATATAGTTCAAGCTCTATCTAATAATTTAAATCCATATATTTTTCATTTTAATAACACAGACAGTGCATTTTTCGCCCTCTATTTATTGTACATGTGCATTTATCTGTACGCGGAATATACAAATTATTTTGTATGTGAGCGTTTTCAAGGTGGGTTCAATAATTACTTTTTCAAAAATAAAGTCAACTTAAATCAAAATTGCCTGGCACTACAAGTTTTCAAAAAAAAAAAAAAAATAAAATTTGTATATGGAACTTAAAGTACATGTACAGTTTGTGCTATGACAAAATTAAAAGCATTCTATTCAAATTTTTGATTTAATGGAACACTTTATTACGTTTCATACAAAAAAAAAAATTTGCGGTGCCAGACAATTTTGATTTAAGAAAGCTTCGTTTTTGAAAAAAAAAAAATTTGAACCCACCTTGCATTTTTTCATCTTTTCAAAGTAAGCAAACAGGTAAGTAGGGGCAAGTGAGAAAAGAAAGAAAAATTTGAAGTAATTATTTGTGATTATTTAATTAACCTTTTTAAAGAAAAAAAATGCATTAAAGCTTAAAAAAAATAAGAGTGTGTCTGCTTCTTAAAGAAACATAAACTTTCCTTATTCAGTTTCAAGTTTATAAATTCTAATATTTCTTCAACGATTAATTATTTAGGAATAAAATTATTGATTAAATAATTTTTGAATTATATTTCAATCAATTTAATTAATATTAATTGTTTTATTCTGTTTTAATTCATGAGTGACGTTGTTGATTAATTTATTTTTCTTATCCATGACCTTGCTTTCAGCAATTTTGAATTGCTTTATTTTATCTTTTCTTCTCTGCTTTGGTTTAGAGCATATTTGCAGCAATTTATTAATCGATTGACAAGCGTAACAAACAAGGCATTACAACAATAGTAAAAAATGCTTGATGTAAGCAAAACAGAGATGAAAACATAAAAGAAAAATGGAATGTGAGAATTTATTTGTGTGGAGCGAGCTAGTGCGCAAAAATAGCGAGGGAGAAATATTTTTCTGTTTCGATTTGGTTCCGTTCTTTTTTTAATACATATTAATTGAATTATTTTCAAGGGGAAACCATCATCAAGAAATGGGATAACTTTGATCAAAAGTTGACTGAACTCAAGAAATTTTAAAAATTAATAAAAGCTTCTTTAATCAATTATGAAGAGTTAATTTTATAGTTCTTGCTAGCTTTTCCAAATTCATGGACATCTTTCTCACTTTCCGTACAAATTTTTTTCAAAAAACAATTTTTATTTGGGGTCTAGTCAAGTTTTAATTAAAATAACATTTATGTTATGATGATGGTTCCATTTTGAGTTTAATACTTATAATTAATTTTTTTCATTAATTTGATGAATTTAGATCTATTGGTTTGTAATAATTTATATTAAAAAAATTATTCTCAAATGTTAAGCATGCATGTCCGATGCACATTTACAAAGACTGTCCAAAGAAATGAAAAGTCAAATTTTGTCTTTATCTCTCCAAACAATCAATGTACATCAATGTAAATGTACGAATGAAAAATGATTTTTTTTATAAGACATATCGTTGATTTGCACTAGTTTAAAGAATTCCGAAACATTTCATGTAGTAATTATTAAAAGTTTATTAATTTTTTTTAGTTTCATTATCTTAATATTCGTTTTTAAACATGAATGTTCATTAGACTGTGCACATTTAAGTCTTGAATTTCAAGCATTAACGCTTTTAAGCCGTTCATTTATTACGTAACATATAAAGTATTTTTTTAAAAATCCCTTTAACCTTTGTTTAATTTTTTTTAAATTTTGTTTGTTTGATCTGTAACTGAATCTTAGGTTCTTTTTTTTTAATTGCAAGAGGCGTAGTCAGAAAAGGGGAGGGGAATAGAAGCCCCGTTTTCGAGAATCAAAATATCATATAATATCAGGGTGCTTCAACTTCGTACATCACGATGAAAAAATAAAAAAAATATAATGGCTAGTTAATATTCATAAACTCGAAGACGAATATTCTTATCATATATTCTTATTGTGTTTGTGTTTATTCTTCTTACCATTATGTTCATTACAATATGAATCTCAGAATTTTTTGGTGGCTACAAAAAAAAAAAAATCCTTTGAAGATTACGTACAAAATATTAATTAACAATAAGAATTTTGAAAACAGAGATTTATGAACTAAAATAATAAGGAAACAAAAAAAAAATGACGCATTAAAGTATTCAAGGTTAAGTTAAGCTAACAACAGCATTAAAAATTATTTATTATTAATATATTTTATTTAAAATAACTCAAAGTCGATTAATTTCTCAACTTTTAATCCAATGGGTGCCGATGGTTCTTATTCTTCGAAAATGGTCCTTATTCTTCGAAATCGAAAATTTGAATTTGAATTTTTTTCAAAAAATGAAATTCCGTTAAAAATATTTCATCAAAAAATTATATTTGTTTACATCAGTAAAATTTTGATTAATTTTCATTAATTATGGGTAAAACATGCAAAATTGCAAGCTGCAACAAAAATAAAACAATTACAAATCTTTTTAAAGTACCTAAGCACTCATTAAACAAAGATAAATGGTTGTTATTTTTAAAATCAAACAACATAAGTGTCGACAATGATTCAGATTCGGAAAAAATGTTCAAAAATTCCTTGTGCACAATATTTTTCTGACACATTAGAAAATTGAAAGTTTTTGTTGATTTCTTTTGATTTGATTCTTTTAGCATCTTCTACATAATATTTTCGTTCATTGCTCAAAAAATCAGTCCTTAATATAAAGGATAAACATGTTTTTTTATCAAAAGTTTGTAAAAGTTTATCAAAAAATATTGTGCATGATCAAACTTTGTATGAAATTTTATGTAAACTTTGATCGCAAATATCTCGAAAACGGCATCAAACGGCATGTCCCCAGTAATATGGGAGATAGATTTAAGCTTAATTAATTGATTTGTATAGGTTTCAGAGAGGTCTTTGGAAGACTTTTTAACTTATGAACAGTTTAAGTTTTGTAAAAATACTCAGATTTCAATTCCATTTTTAAGGCTTAATAAGCAGATTTCTATTAAGTTTGTTGTTTTAATATGTAGAGCTAAGCTTAAATTAGCTAGCAACTGCTTCCAAGACATCCAAATAACAACTTAAAGTAGAAAAAATCATATTTCTTTTTTCATACTCAAATTGTAAACAAATTTTGGGTGAGATTAAATTAATGATTTCTGGAGTTAGACAACAAATAGGAACGAGATATTTTTAAAGGATATGCACAAAGGAAAGATCTTTAATCTGGCATTTAAAAGACAAAGTTTAATTAACATGAAATTTTTGAATTTTTGAACATTTTTTTCGATTCTGAATCATTGTGGTGTCGACGGAAGTGAAATATATTTATGTGACTCTCATTTTAAAGATGATATGATTATTAAAAGCAACTCAAGAGTAAGATTAACTGACAATGCATATCCTTCCATAGTAAGTTCACTGCAATTACATTCAAAAAACAAATTTGCATCGAAGAATTGATTTTTGTTCATAAATAAATTTAACTGTCTTTAAAATTTCAAAATTTTTTATAAAAAATTATTTTTCGAATTTTTTCGAAACAGGTTTGAATTTTAGAAAAAATAACGGTCTACATTGTTGTAGGCACCCATTGGCTTTTAATAAAAACGACTTTATTGGTAATTGAAATTACACAATTCCTTACATTCCACACAATTCTATGCGGCTCAACGGTGCATTGACCGGAACGATCGCGTGAAACTGAAATACATAAAAATCCATGGAGTTGTTGCTTTCAACGTTGAATTTTTAAGTATTGATATTGATAAATTTTAAAACCAATTATCATAAGAGGCCGTTGACTTATTACGTTCGCTTCTAAGGGTGGAGGAGTGGGTCTAAGATTTTGTAACAGTTCAAAAAAAGAAAAAAAAATTCAATATAAATTTAAAAAAAGGAAAGAGTGTTGTTTTTTGCGTAGCGTAATAAGTTTTCTTTTGATTTTAATTTTAGGTTTAACGTTTGAAATTTTAAGATATCGTTAGTTTGGATTATAAACTTACATGCAAATTATGATTCTATGGGATAGCAACTTAGCAACTTTTAAACATATTTTTATAAAGATGATGGTAAAATTAAGCATATAATTTCATCGAGTTCCTCTTCCCCAATTTTTTTAAAGTCATGAGTTTTTAAAGTGTTTTTTAAAGTGAATTTAAATCCATTATTATTTGTAGTGCAAATGGCAAGTATATTACTAAAGTCTTACTCCTTTGGTAACAATTATTGAATTTTTGAAGCAGCTCAAAAGTTACAAACACCCATTATTTAAAAATAAATTATATATTCCAGTGGTGGTCAATGTTTTTCATAAAAAAAAAAATAAAGTACGTTTATGTTCGTACCTGTACATACGAATTTTTTTCAAAAATTTTTTTTCAAGTCAAATTTTGTTCAAAGTAATCCATTTAACAATGATGATACCTACTTGAAAAATTCTGAAATTTTCTGAAAAATATAAGAATTACGATACACTTAAACATCCTCCACGACAAGCAAGATTGGCTATCACTGCAATAGTCTTTTAAACTGTTCAAACCAAAAGCAAAAATGCAAACATATAAAAACATTAGTTGAAAGTTATTGAACTGCCTTTAATACTGGAATCATTTATTTTCGTAAAACAGCGAAAATAATTTTTGGGCGCAGTTTTGTTACAATTGTGAGATCGAATTTAAGTTGGAAATAATTTCAATTAGTTAATTATATTTTTCATATATATGAACATCAAAAAAGAATGATTTAAATCCTATCCGATAATATTATCAGTGAGAATATT